TGAACTTTCATAACCCTCAGACACAACACTAGCACTGCCTTCCTCTTCCTCCTTTTCATACTTCTTCTTACCCTTTCTCTCAGGAAAATCTCTCCTAAGATGGCATTCCTTGTGACAGAAGAAGCACTTCCATTTCCTAGTTTTGGACTTAGATCTATTCCTATTGTGTCCCCTTTTTTTCCAGTTCCTTTTCTCTGATCTACGCCTTACCATAAGACCTTCCCCATCACTGCCTAATTTCATTCTATTCTCACTATCCTTAGCTGTAATGGTTTCTACAACTTCTTCTAATTTTAGGGTCTGCCTACCATATTTTAAGGTTTCTACAAAATTAGAGTAGGGTTTTGGTAAGGAATTTGGAAGAATTACAGCCTGGTCTTTATCGTTAATCTCTACTGATATGCTTTCTAAATCTTGTATAAGTTTCATAAATTCATCCTTATTGTCTTTTAAAGTTTTCTGCTCATCCATTTTAAACCCAAACAATCTTTGTTTTAAAAACCGTCTATTAGGGACATCTTTAGATTGATACAGAGAGTCTAACCTGTTCCAGATCTCAGTAGCAGTTTTCTCCTTCTTCACTTCTCGAAGGACTTTGTCACCCAGTCCTAAGATCAAGGAGCTTTTCGCTTTGTTGAGAACATCCTGCTTCTCAATTTCAGTCATGGTGTCAGGCAATCCAGATTCCCCTTTCAATGCTAGGGCTAGTCCCTCTTTAATCAGCACAGATTCCATTTTCATCTTCCAGAGTCCAAAATTAGTGTCCCCTGTAAACTTTTAGAGTTCAAATTTAGTGGACATATTTTGGTATGAAATTTGTAACAACAGAAAAGGAATCACAGATAACCCTAATTAGGACTTGAACTAGGCTCTGATACCAATTTGTAGTAACAACTAGGGTTTTCAACTACGCTGATTACAATCAACTCAATCAATGAACAAACTCAACAATCAATTTTAGAGATTAATAAAAGCAAGGAAAAACTGAATAAAAACGACACAAAGGGATTTATAGTGGTTCGACTAAGGCAACCTACATCCACTCTTCAAGTCACACTTTAGGGTATTTCATTCATCAAGAGAACAATGTTACAGAGAGTATTTAACAAGTAAAATATAGGAAAGAACACACCCGATTAAGCCTCTCACTGCTCTGCTTCTTCTCACACATATTGGTCTGATTTTATACACATCAAGGCTCTATTGATCAATCACCAACTGTCCAATAAGATCTGAGAACCGTTGGAGAAAACAAGCACTAGAATCTTCGGCCATAATCGAAGACCTAGGGTTAAAACAGGACCAGAGAGAGAGATGAGTTGTGAAGAATCTGTTACAACAGAATGAGAGTCGAGTACCAGATAGGGCACTTAAACTTGATAACCAAAACGACGTCGCATAGGAAAAAAAATATAACAATGCTTGCTTTGACTGATATTGACTCCATGTCAATTGCAAGCCATATCATCACAAGGAATTTGCAGTATATGGGTCAATCATATTATGAAGATTTAGTGACATTGCTAGTAAAAAAGAATGAAGTTAAACTGGTGAAATTTCTCACTATTTTCAGTACCATTGATTTTCAAACAATAGCTTTCATAGGGGAATTCTTGATTTAATTGGAACGATTCAATCACTTCGACTGCTCAACGTTTCGCAAAACTTCCTAACTGGCAACATCCCTTTGTCATTGGGAAATTTCGCAGATCTAGAATCCTTAGACCTCTTTTCAAACAGACTTCATGGGAAAATTCCATGGCAGTTGAAAAGAATGATGTTTCTTGCAGTCCTATACCTGTCTCATAACCAACTTGAAGGACCTATCAAGGCAGTCAATTTGAAACCTTTTCCAGTGATTCTTATAGCGGAAACTTGAGATTATGTAGACTTCCACTGTCAATTGAATGCGACGCTGACGCGGCCGCAACCATCCTCAATATCAGGAAATGCTACAAACTGTGGAAAAAAATTTGGTTGGAAAGCGGTGATGATGGATTATGGATCTGGAATGGATTTGGGAATGATTATGGGATATCTTGTATTTTCAACTGGAAAACCTCTCTGGCTAGCAATTGTATTTGAAGGGATGAGAAGGTTGCATAGGAAACACAATGGAAGAAGAAATTAGTGTCTGCATTAGGCACAGTGTCAAAATAATGTTGATAATATGCTGTACTTTATTTATTTTTCTTTTGAAATAATGTATCCGCAAGATATATGGATTTAATGAAGTCAACTAAAGCAGTAGGCTGCTTGTTGTATTGATCTAATGAAATTGTTGTCTATGTCAGTAAAAGCAAATCAACTGATGCCCAGCATCATATTGCATAATATACCAGAGCAAACTCCTCTGCACCCATTGTTCTTTCTCTTATGAATTTCAGATTTCAACCATCTTGATCTCATAAAATTATACACACCTTGTTTGAAATAATAACTGTGTTACAATGAATGAAGATTCTTGATACTCTGAAAGCTGTCTCCGTAATCACCAAGGGAAAAATACCACCTTTGAGACGCCCACATTTCAGCTCACTCTGAGCAGCAAACTCCTATTTGTTTCCTTTTTTGTGTGGTTTAGCACAAAGCTAAAACTAGAAATAGAGACGACTGGAATTTCAAGTCAAGCTAAAACTAGTAAGACATTTAGAAACAAAATCTGCCATAAGAAGCTCAGGACAAAAATGTGCCGGCAGTTTAAAACCAGCAGCGGACCTATTGCAATAGTTAAATATTTATTTAAGATGGTGCTCTTCGTATAGGTCATTGTGTTATTTACGAAATTTTCCTGTATAACTGATGTTGATAATAGGTAGTATGTTCTACTTGAAGTGGTGGAATAAAACTAAGTAGCAACATATTTAAAAGCAAGCCCGGAAGGAACAGACAAATGGTCTTTAAAACAGTCCTTTACAGTCTACAACAATATTACATTTTTCAAGTTTGTTACAATTGTAACCTTTACAGAAAATTCAGGAATGAAGTCATGTGAAAATGTAAACTTCATCATATCCCTTCCTGCAGTCAAGACATCATACAACAATTAAATCAATAAATTTATATGTAAATTTAGATGGGTTTCAGTATCATCATCAAAATATTAAATGTTTGATTTAACAACCATTTTTTAACTTTCGTAATGTTCTCATACTTTTTATTAGTCTGTACAAGTAATTTTATTTTATTTTTAAATTTATTAAGAATATAAAACATATTTTGGAAAGTTGGTTGCCTGGTCAACACGTAAGCTGGGAAATATGAGATTGTTTTACACGCTTATTCATCATATTTATGGTAGAAGGAGGACTGTGTAAATAAGTAGAAACAATGAAAGTATCCCTGAGTACTGTTGCTGCTCCTGCAACCATTCTTGATTCTTTTTATTGTGTTACTTCCCCTTTTAACCGTTAACAGTAGCTTCTGCAGTGGAAGATCTGACTTGGGATTCTTCAAGAGTGAGAAACAAGATTTTTTAAGGTTTAATCGAGAGCTAAGGATGACTCCATATTTCACCTGGAACCACTTCATTGCATCCTCCTTTGTAACTCTATGCTGAATTCCAACACGTGACTTGCATCTGCGGCGGCGACCAACACGATATCCTGGGCGCTCAAGAACAACATAGAAATCCGTACCATAGATACCAGTTGAAGGATCGTACCTGGAAAGAGAAGATACAATACAACAGTTAACTTTAAAATCCCAGAGTGAGATAAAACACAGTACGACCATTAACTTTAAAATTCCAGAGTGAGACCTCAGAACCTGAGATCCCTAATACACTCATAACAACCATGCAGAAATAAGAAAATCTGTACTATTTCTTTGTAATGATCTCATTCTACAAGACAATACATAATTAAATTATGATATACTAGAAGCCAAATTGAAGTAGTACACAAAAGAACCATATTAGTAAATACGTATGTAGCATATGCCTATCTCGTCCAGTTGATCCATAACAAGACTACAAGAGTAATGTTGGTAGCTTAGTCCGAAATATGACATCCCGAGAGACTACTATTTTCAACAAGAACTTCAGTCCTTACAGTCTAGAAAAAAGAACATATTATATATAGACAATACGGGACTGGTTGTATAGAAATAGTCATCTCGATTTCCTTTCTCTTAGGGGAAATAACTTGGAAGGTACAATTTCAGGTGCTTTAGGAAACTTGACTTCTCTCACAAGCCTTGATCTTTCCTCCAATAAACTTGAAGGATACATAAGCAGGTCATGGGGGAGACTTTGCAATTTGAATTCAATTTTCTTGTCTGAGGTCAAATTGAGTCAAGAGGTGCATGAAGTCTTAGACATTTTCTCAAGATGCGTCTCAGGGGTTTTGGAATATCTGGATTTAGAGAATACAAATCTTTTTGGTCATTTGACCGAACAACTTGGGCAATTTAAAAATCTAAAATATCTTAATCTTGATTACAACTCCCTTTCTGGATCTGTTCCTGTGTGCATTGGAGAACATTCGTTTCTGAGATTTTTAGATCTTTCAAATAACAAGTTGGAAGGTGTAGTCTCCGAAATTCATTTCACCGATTTGACAAGACTATTATCTTTTGGCATCTTTGGTAACTCATTAATGTTGAAAGTCAGTCCTGGTTGGATTCCTTCATTTCAGATCAAATTTCTGGAGTTACGATATTGTCATTTAGGGCCTTCATTTCCATCGTGGCTTCATTCACAGAAGCATCTAATTATTTTGGATATATCAAACTCAGGAATTGTGGATACACTTCTGATTTGGTTTTGGATATCTCATTTTCAAATACCTTATTTAAACCTCTCTCATAACATAAACTATGGAGAGATTCCAAATTTAACTGAGGCGGATCGATCCACTTATGTTGACTTGAGTTCAAATAATTTCTCAGGTTCATTACCTCTTGTATCCTCTAACATTTCTCTGCTAGACCTTTCCAACAATGCTTTGTCAGGTTCCATTTTTCATTTTTTGTTTCACAAAAGAAACGAGTCAAAGAAAATGATGATTCTCAGACTTGAAGATAATCTTTTATCGGGAGAATTAGCAGATTGTTGGATGAATTGGCAAAAATTGAGCACGTTGAATTTAGGTAACAATAAATTCATTAGGAACCTTCCATCCTCTATTGGATCAATACGTTGGCTTCAGTCATTGCACCTTCGCAAAAACCACCTCTCCGGTATACTTCCAACGTCACTTAAAAATTGTACCAGTTTAACGACATTTGATGTTGCTGAAAACTGGTTTGTTGGAAATATACCAATATGGATAGGACAAGAAGTTTTAGGTAAGGTAATTCTTAACCTTCGTTCAAATAAGTTTGATGGTCATTTACCAACAAAACTTTGCTATCTGACTTTTCTACATGTGTTGGACCTTGCTTACAACAGTCTCTCTCGAACCATTCCAATTTGTATTAAGAACCTCAGTGGCATGGTGTCAATTGACTATGATGAAGGGAACTATATTTCCTACTTGTCCATCCATTTCTCGTAAAATAGAGCACCATGAGGGCGCAGTTCTTCTGACAAAAGGAAAAGCTTTCGAATGCAATAATACCCTCAATTTGGTGAGAAGTATAGACCTTTCCGGCAACAGCTTCTCAGGAGTGATTCCGAATGAAGTAACAAATCTTAAAGCATTACAATCATTGAATTTGTCTTAGAATTCATTAAGTGGAAGAATTCCTGAAACTATCGGTGTTATGACCTCATTAGAATCTCTTGATTTCTCTGCAAACCAACTCACAGGTGAAATTCCACTAGTCATTTCAGGGTTGACATTTTTGAGTCACTTGAACTTGTCTAACAACAACTTGACCGAAAAAATTCCTACGAGCACTCAATTACAAAGCTTTGATGCTTCTAGTTTTGTTGGCAATGATCTTTGTGGATCTCCCCTTCCTAAGAATTGCACTAGTGCTATTTTAACTCCAGCCAATGACCATAGCGGAGGGAAAAATGGCAATGAACATGAAGTGGATTGGTTCTATGTAGGCATGGCACTTGGATGTGTGGTTGGCTTTTGGAGCATAATAGGTCCATTACTTGTGAACAGAAGATGGAGGTATATGTATTGTGAATTCTTAGATCGCTTTGGCGACAAATTTGTCAGAGTTGTAAGAAAATGTTGCTAGCTAGATGTTGTGTTGAAGCTTTGTTGTCTTTATGTAATTTAATCGTATTTTAATGAATAAAAAGGTATCATTTTTCTGATTATGATTGGAAGCTTCGTTTAAAGTTAAATAGACAGGATCATGATGTTGTTGGAAGTTGGAACTCGAGACTATAATGAACATTATCTTGTGACATAAAAAACAGATTGTATATTATTAGTGCCTTCATAAATACTCTACATAGTCGGGTAACAGTAGATAATTTGCATAAAAATATGGGTAAAATCTAATATAATACAGAGAAATTTATTCGCCGATTCAGTAAAATTATTTTCTGTAGGAAAATAATCTAAGTGCTTGACAAAACCCTAATAAAATAAGCATCACATAGTGTAATGCAACAGTGAAAAAGTAATAAATAAGAGAAAAATTGAATTGACAGATAGGCGACTATAACAGTTAGATATTGTACATGGATATCATTAGAGAGGAGCTTGGAAGTCAATTTGGGACATTTTGGCGGCATTCAAATTGAGAGATTCTACTATTGCAACAAAATTTCCCACCAATGTCTTTTGGCTCCGGGGCTTTTAAATTGGAGTCGGAAGTGCTTATCTTAGGGTCACTTTGAATTAATTTTTTTTTAATTGGGGTGTCTAAATCAGTTTGTGCACACTTCAACTAAATTTTAGTACTCATCTTCAACCGTCTATTCTTGTTAAAAATAAATAAAAAATTAACGAATTATCTTTATAGATGAGAATAATTGAATTATTTTGACCATCAAGGGGCTCGAACTTGGGAGACCATATTAGATACTTTTTTCTTTTTTTACCATCGGCTACCCAGTAGTGGTTAATTGAGTTCTGTTACGCTGCTCTAATCATTGCAAGGCAAATAAATGAAAACATACAAAAGAGTAAGGATTATTTACCAACAGGTAATTGATAACACATAACAACTCATGCACAATGTTGAGAAGAAATAGTGGATCTGAAATTCTCTTTTTATAATATCCACGACAAAAATATAAGTCTAATTCATCTCCAATCTATATAAAAAAGTACAGTATTATTAATTAATAAGATAGGAGACCTTTTCATGCATGAGAGGTCAAAGTTGTCTGGTAATATAAATCCTTCTTTGCTTGATTTGAAACATTTGATTTACTTGGACTTGAGGAATGATTTTTGAAGAAATTCAGATTCCTAATTGTCTTGGTTCTATGGGGAATCTAAGATACCTTTACCTTTTCCGAGCTGGATATGGGGGAAATGTTCCTCACAACATTGGAAATATTCTCTCCAATCTGCAATATCTTGACCTTGGAAATAATTCAAATATACGTGCTGAGAATTTGGGTTGGCTGTCTGGTCTTTCTTTGCTGAAATACCTTGATTTGAGCTTTATGGATATCAAGAAGTCTCTGATTGGCTGTGGGTGATAAACTCACTCCTTTCTTTAGTGGAGTTAAATTATCATATTGTCATTTAAGGCCTTTATTTCCTTCCCGGCCTCATTCACAAAAACATCTAGGATGCGTTTGGTTTATTATTTTGAATAGGATTTTGAGGATAGTATTGGATAATTGAATATGAGAGTATTACGAGGTAAAATTTAAAAATTTATAAAAAAAACCCCCTAAGTTTGCTAATTTAATAAATACCCCAACATGTAAAATAACAAAAATTCCCCCACCACCTGCAGTGCCAGATTCCAGCCACCATCGATGGAATCTGGCCGAAAAATCTCTTTACGACACAGACCGGTCGGATCTGTGTCGTAACGCGTCGTTATGGCCTTTTTCGGCCAGATCCACCATGGATCTGACCGAAAAAGGCCAGATCTAAGGCCTCCCATTTCTTTGGTCATCGTTCACGACCAGATCTGGCCTTTTCCAGCTAGATCCATGGTGGATCTGGCCGAAAAAGGCCAGATCGGTGAACTTCCGGCCATTTATGGTCGTCAGGTAGGCTGTTGTACAGATTCCGAATACCAACAATGGTGGTTGCCGGAATCTGGCAAGTATGGGTCGTGGGAGTGTTTTTGATAATTTATAAACTTTTTTTTCAGGGTGTATTTGATGAAATTAATAACCTTATTAATAACCTTATGTGGTCTAAAAGTAATTAAAAAAATATGGTAATATTTCTGGAATAATGTACCAAACATTATTTGGATAATAGGATTGGGAATAGGGATAAAAATAATAAGCCAAACATGGCCCTAATTACTTTGGACATATCCAACTCAAGTAACTGTTGATACACTTATAGTTTGGTTTTGGACAACTCATTTTCAAATATAAATCTCTCTCATAACCAAATCAATGGAGAGATTCCAAATTTAACCCAGGCTAATCGATCCACTATTGTTGACTTGAGTTCAAATAAATTGTTAGGTTCATTACCTCTTATATCCTTTAACACAACTTTTCTAGACCTGTCCAACAATGCTTTTGAGGTTCTATTTTTCAATTTTTTTTTTTTTTTTTTTTTTTTTTTTTTGTGTGTGTGTGTGTGTGTCATGAAAGAAACAAGTCAAAGAAAACGGTGTTTCTCAAACTTGAAGATAATCTTTTACCTGGAGAATTATCAGATCGTTGGATGAATTGGTAAAAATTGTTTATGTTGAATTTAAATATTTTAGATGAAACTTAATATTATAAGAGAACTTTTGATAAAAATAAATAGAGCTATATATTAAGCAATAAATGATATAATTTTCATTACCTTGATAATTAATATATATTTAATACAAGATAAAATAAAAACAATTGTATATAATTAACTATGATAATTTAAAGAAATAACATAATTCAAAACTAATTTGAACACATAAACACAAATCAAATGTATGAAAGTTGGAATAAAAATCATGTAAATAAAGAAAATTGAAACACACGCACACGCTCAATCTAACAATGAATGACCTTCCATCAGAGTGCTTGATAAAGTCTGATTGGAGTAGAATGAAACTAAAATTTGTTATGTGTTTTTTACTCTCACACACTCACAGCAACAACAAAAAATAAACCCACCAAATATGCTATAACCCGATGTATGAGTACTTAGAGATGGGCGATTGAGGGGGTCCTCGCCCCGCCGCGAATGGCCTGGTAGGGGTGAGCATGGGTTACGGGTAGAACTGGAACTTGGGGGTAGAACCAGAACTGACACTGTACGGGTAGGTTTCGGTTCCATTTTTTTGGAACCGACACTGTGTGGCTCCGGTTCCGGTTCCTACATATGGAGGAACCGAAACCTAGAAAAAAAGAACCTTCAGTGGGTACCCAACTTGAAACTTGCAGTGGGTATCCTATTTTGGATCCTGGGTTGAAATGAAATATTTGTGAAGAATAGGAGGTCTCTTGTAATTTTACATATAAAAAAATTAAAATGGAAAAAGTTAAATTTTTATAATAACCTAATTAAATAAATATACAATTATACTTATTATATATAAACTACACTATATAAAAAACTTTAAAATATTATAATATATTAATACTAAAGTTTTGATTAATTAAGTGTATAATTGGAATTAGGACCAATTAAAAGTATTTTAATGTTATTAAAAGAATTATTTTTTTAACAAAATAGTATATCTGATTGAATAATAATATAATATTTAGTTATTTACTTCAATTATCAAGTTCTAAGTATATCTGTAGTAAATTAGTAATTAATTAATTATATAAAATAAATTGATAAACATTAATACATGATCATTACTAGTTAAATGATTATTTAATCAATTATAATATTACATTATAGTTAAATGATTACTTAATTAATTATAAGTTTATAACATTACATTAGTAATTTAGTACATTGCTTAATTAAATAATTAGAAAAATATTTAATTATAACATTACATTATAGATTTATAGTATAATTATTTAACTAATTATAACATTCCATTATAAATATTAGTACAATACTTAATTAAATGATTAAAAATTTAATTAATTACAATATTATATTAAAGATTTATAGTATGATTACTTAATTCATTATAACATTACATTATAGTATGATCACATAATTAATTACAATATTACATAATTAAATAATTATTTAATTAATTATGACATTATATTATAAACATGAGTAATTTACTACATTAGCACAATACTTAATTAAATGATTAGAAATTTAATTAATTATAACATTACATTATAAATTTATAGTATGATTACTTAATTAATTATAACATTACGTTATAAACAAATGATTACTTAATTAATTATAACATTTCATTATAAACATTAGTACAATACTTAATTAAATGATTAGAAATTTAATTAATTATAACATTACATTATAAATTTATAGTATGATTACTTAATTACTTATAACATTACGTATAACATTATGTTATAAACAAATGATTACTTAATTGATTATAACATTCAATTATAAACATTAGTAAAATACTTAATTAAATTATTAGAAATTTAATTAATTATAATATTATATTAAAAATTTATAGTATGGTTACTTAATGCATTATAACATTACATTATAGGATGATTACATAATTAATTATAACATTACATAATAAAATGATTACTTAATTAATTATAATATTATATTATAAACATACTACGTTAGCACAATACCTAATTAAATGATTAAGAATTTAATTAATTATAGCATTATATTGTAAATTTATAGTATGATTGTTTAATTAAATGATTATTTAATTAATTATAACATCAGTACAATACTTAATTAAATGATTAAAAATTTAATTAATTAAAACATTATAATATAATTAAATAATTACTTAATTAATAATAACATTACATTATATTATAATCAATTAATTATATTATAACATTATATAGTAAAATGATTATTTAATTAATTATAAACTTATAACATTATTATAAACATTAGTAATTTACTACATTAGTACAATACTTAATTAAATGATTAAAAATTTAATTAATTAAACATTACATTATAGATTTATAGTATGATTACTTAATTAATTATAATATTACACTATAAACATTAGTAATTTACTACATTAGTACATTATTTAATTAAATGATTAGAAATTTAATTAATTATAATATTACATTATAGATTTATAGTATGATTACTTAATTAATTATAATATTACACTATAAACATTAGTACAATACTTAATTAAATAATTAGAAATTTAATTAATTACAATATTAAATTATAGATTTATAATATGATTGTTTAATTAATTTAATTAATTGTTTGTGTTTTGGTTTTGATTGAAGAATTTTATGTGAATTGTGATGAATTGATTGAATTCAAGTGTTGCCTAGAGATTAAAGGATTTATGAGTCACATTAGACACAAATGAATGAGTAATCAAAATTTGTTAGGGATGTATTTGTAAACTATTAAGGTATTTTTGTCATTTTTTAAACTAATAGGGGGTAATTAATTTTTTATAGGGTACCCGGATAGGAACCGGAACTTGCATTTTAGGTTCCGGTTCCTTGAATTTAAGAACATACACTGTGCGATTCTGGTTCCCCCGAAAAATACGGGGTACCCGGAACCACTTTAATAATTATTATTTTCACACTATTAATTGATCAAATGTGATTATAAACGTTGACCCCACAAAGACTTCATTGACTAGGGCGAGATCGGGGGTCAACCCAATCCCCGTGGGCCAGGCCCAAGATCCCCCCTTCATCCTCGACCTCGGGGATGGGTCGGGCCTGGGGAATCCCTTAGGGGTCAAGGACGGGGCCAAGGAATGGGATCCCCAGCCTCCCCCCCCCCACCCCCCCCCCCCCCCCCCCAAGAAAAAAAGAATCCCTAAGAGTAATAGACCAAAATACCCTTTCTCCATGTAGTGAGCTTAATAAACCACATAGGCTTTTGGGTTTCCTCCATATAAGAGGGAAAACCCAACGGGAGAATGATCAACTATGCAACGTTTTAGAATAGAAAGGGATTGATGGAATTAGAAATTAGTTGAACATTGATATCGTAAAAGATATGTCAATCCTTTACTTAAAATTTTAGACTATAAATGGTCAATTCAGTCATCAATCGACTAGGTGGTTGGCAAACAGCCGATTAATCATTTTCTCTTTTCAATTGGGGGAAATTTTAGCAGTAAGTGCAATACAAATTTTGGATTAGAATAGATGTTATTTGATTCTGTTCCGATGGATAAATACCAATACACAACTCTACAAGTGTGAATTTTCCATTCCGCAATTATATTCCTTCTTTATTTGACTTGACTTGATTACCATAGGAGTACACGGTGGGACATAAAACAATTGTAAACATTTAAAACCTTGACCCATAGCAATATTCCAGGAGAGCTCCTTTCAACTTTTTTGTAGAAAAATGAGGTTCTGGACCTACTTTGGAAAATTGGTTGCCAGGTCAACACGAAAGCTGTGAAATATGAGATTGTTTTACACGCTCATTCATCATATTTATGATAGAAGAAGGACTGAGTAAGTAAGTGGAAACAATGAAAGAATCCATGAGTATTGTTGCTGCTCCTGCAACCATTCTTTTTATTGTGTTGCCCTTTTAACCATTAATATATAGTAGCTTCTGCAATGGACGATCTGACTTGGGATTCTTCAAGAGTGAGAAACAAGATATTTTAAGGTTTAATCAAGAGCCCTCCAATCACCTTGACTCTTTTGACTCCGACCTCCCTCGTAGAACTCTTCAAGCAGCTTATGAGCAGCCAAAAACGGTTGGTAAGATAACAATCTTTCTTTCCTTCATTATTCTTGTTAGAATGTAATGAAAGAACATAATGAAGAAGTAAAGAAGTGTGGACGTTTTGTTGATGAAGAGATGTTAGGAAGTAATGAAATCTGACCGTTGATTGTAGATGACGTGTTAGGGAGTTAGTTTTATTTTTGTTACAGTGCACATGCAAAATACATGCAGTGCGCATGTATATATAAAACACTTTACACATGTATCATTATGATCATCATCAATAATACAGATATGAATTTTCTCTCTCTTTTGCTCTGTTTTTCCTGCGTTTTCTGTTAGTGTTCTAAGTTGTATCAGAGCCTTTGACCAACGTCGAAAATAGCCGATCCCTCACCAATTTCTTCTTCCTTTGACAAAGAAAATAAAGATTCAAGTCTCAAACACTCTTTTGGTTCAGTCAATTTCTCCAATTCTTCTTCTCTCTCTTCTTCAACACTTTCGGTAATCTCACCAAAATTGACAAGAGATAACCACCGTTTCTGGAAATCACAGATCATGTTTGTCGTTGGAGCTCATGGACTCGAAGAACACCTCACTGGACTCGTATCATGTCCAACACTCTTTGTTCGTGTTCAAGTGGATAGCTCAAGTTCAGAGGTACACAAAAAACCTAATTCAGAGTATCTACTTTGGAAGAGAACTGATAAATTGCTGGTGAGTTGGTTATTATCTTCAATATCAGAGTCTATGTTTCTTGTGATCTCTAAGTGTCAGTTTGCAACCGATATATGGTCAACTTTGGAAAAGGAATTTCTTACCGAATCGAAAGCTAAAACACTGCATGTTAAGAGTCTACTGCAAAACATGAAAAAGGATAGTTTAAGTATGCATGATTATTTTCTAAATGCATGATTATTTTCTAAAGATGAAAAGTTATGCTGGGAGTTTGATTGCTAGTGGTGTTATTATCACTGATGAAGAGTTGTTGAATTACATATTGGATGGTTTAGATTCTGAATATGATACGGCAGTTGTTAACATAACCACTAGACTTGAATCTAAGGTTGATCCGATAACGGTGCAAGAAGCTCAAATTGTTTTACAGAAGCTAGGACTTAGGCTGGAGAAAGCTAATAGTATGATGAATTCCTTGGTTCATATTGAGTTTCATAGCAGTTCAGCTAATATTGCTAGTCTAGCTACGAACAATGAACAAACGAAGTTGCAATCTGTACCATAGTTCTCTACTAATCTAGCTCCAACCTCACAACCTTCTAAGTTCAACCAATCTGTTAACCAATCATACTCTACACCTAATCAGAATTCAGTGGTGAATGCACCCTCTCAGAATCAATTCATGCCACCTTAGAATCAATTCTTTACATCACAATTTGCTAGAGGGTATTCTGGTGGCAGAGGAAGAGGTCGTGTAGGAGGAAGAAACATATTTATCTGTCAAGTGCGTGGTAAAACTGGTCATCTGGCATTGAACTGTTACCATCGGTTTGATGTTAATTTCTCAGGAAACTCTTCAATGCTAAGGAACAATTTTAATCCTCATGGATTTGCAAGAGCACCTGAACCTTATCATGGAAGTTTTTATCCTTCCATACCTCCTCAACACTACTCACCAACTGCCAATACAGGCCAGTTACTACCATTTCAGAATGTCTATCAGCATCAATAGCCTCAATTTTCAACAGCTCCTGGAACTTCCCCTAGCAATACTAGTTTCTAGTCTAATGTTGGTTCCTCAAACATGTCTAATCAGGTGTTTATGGCTCAGTCTCAGGCATATGATCAGGCACATAATCAAACTCCTACAGCCATTAACTACATAGCCACACCATCCACTGTAAGAGATGTTGCATGGTACATGGACTCTGGAGCAACAGTCCATGTTACTTCTGATTTTTCCCAGCTGACAACAAGCTCCAATTACACAAGAGGAGAACAGCTTCAGGTTGGCAATGGTGAGTTGCTAACTATCTCACATACTGATTCTGCTATATTAGCCTATTCACATTGGATTTTGTGTCTTAGAAATGTTTTGATTGTTCCTAATATTACCAAAAATTTACTTAGTGTTTCCAAATTAACTAGAGATAATGATGTCTTGGTTGAATTTTTCAATGATCATTGTGTTGCTAAGGACAAATCCTCCAAGGCAACCTTCTCCAAGGAGTTCTTAAAGCTGGTCTGTACCAACTTTAAACTCCAGTCTGCCCTACCTCTACTTCCATTACAGCTTTGTCTCCCTCGTTGTCTTCTTCACACAATGTCCAGCATCACAGCACCAGCTCTGTCTCATTTCCTTGCTCTTCGAATAAGGTCTTCTTGATTTGTCTCAACACTCGCCTTTGATTTCTTCAACTTTCAATAAATGTAATGCAAATTTTACTTTCAATAAGGGCAAAAATTGTAGATAATACACTGATCTTACCATGTATTCTGATTTGTCTATCCCAAGCAATGTACCCTCTTTTGATGTAGCACCTATTATTAATAAAAGTACTGTTTTGCAATCTTCTATTCTTGACAAGTCTGTTAACACTAAGTTAGATAGTTTTCAATCTTTTCCTGTCCAGAAAACTGACATTATGATATGGCATAAAAGGCTAGGTCATCCTAACTTCTTAGTTCTTACTAAAATTCTTAAAAATTTGGACATTCCCTTTCACACAAAAACTAACCTCACATTTTGTACAGCCTGCCAACATGGTAAATTGCATCAATCTACCTATCCAAAGTCTACCTTTCAAGCCTCTAAACCTCTTGAACTTATATACTCCGACCTTTGGGGACCTTCACCTATCCCTTCACCTGAAGGTTTTAAATACTACATCCAATTCTTAGATGATCATACAAGATTCACCTGGATTTTTCCTCTAAAAACCAAGTCTGAAACCTACACCATCTTCACTCAATTTCATAAACTTGTTGAGAAACAATTTGACACCTCCTTAAAATGTGTTCAAACTGATTAGGGGGGAGGTGAATATAGGAGTCTAGTTCCTTCTTTTAAAGCCAATGGTATCTTGTTTAGACATCCTTGTCCACACACCCATCAACAAAATGGGAGGGTAGAGAGAAAACATAGACAACTAGTTGAACAAGGATTAACTCTTCTTGCACAAGCTAGCATGCCATTAAAATTTTGGTGGTATGCATTCCAAACAGCTGCCTATCTTACAAATAGACTTCCCACACCTGTTTTGAACAATTTTTCACCCTTTCAAAAATTGTTTCATACTGTCCCTTACTACTCTACCATTAGAGTTTTTGGTTGTGCCATTTATCCTTTTCTTAGACCCTATAACACTCACAAGTTTAACTTTCATACTGTCAAGTGTACTTTCATTGGTTATAGTCATAAAGGGTATAAGTGCTTAGCTCCTTCAGGCAGAATTTATACTTGTCAAAGTGTCAAGTTTGATGAGTCAGATTTTTCATTTCAAATTTTACCAATTCAGCTCTAGTTTCATTTGTTATATCATCCAGTTCTGAGTCATTTCAACCTACTGCTTCATCCTGGTGTGTACCTACTGCAGTACTTAATTCTTCTCCTATATTACCTACAAACTCACAATGTCAGTCTACACATGATCATTGGAACAAATCAACCAGGATATATTCTCCAGTTTCATCTCAGTCCAGTTCACTTCAGACTTCCATACCTTGTCAGTCTACTGATGCCCAAGTTTCTAAAAATGATGAGTCTTCACCTGTGTCCACAACCTCTAAGACTGAAGAATCCTTGATGTCACCTATAACCATCTCCTCTAATAACTCATTTGAAACTATACCACTTGCAGTTCACTTGCCTTTAGTAGCATCTTTGCCTTTTGGAACAAATACACATCCTATGCTAACTAGAGCAAAAACCAAAGCCCATAACACTGCCCTACTGACCTCTTCATCTCTTGATATCAAAGAACCAGTCACTATGTCAGAAGCACTCTCTTATCCATCCTGGAAAGCTACTATGCAGGCTGAGTATGATGCTTTGATATCCAATTAGACCTGGGAGCTTGTTCCAGCTAACTCTGATATGAATCTAGTAGGTTGTAAATGGGTGTTTAAGGTTAAAACTAATCCTGATGGTTCTATACAGATATTTAAAGTCAGGTTGGTTGCCAAAGGATTCCAGCAGACCCCTGGTATAGATTATCTTGAGACATTCAGTCCAGTAGTTAAATCTCCAACTATCAGAGTGATTTTGAGCTTGGCTGTAAGTTATGGATAGGATATACAACAAGTAGATATTAATAATGCGTTTCTTAATGGGGATCTTTAAGAAACAATCTATATGGTACAACCTAAAGGATTTGTTCATTCACAATATCCTCATCATGTTTGTAGATTGACCAAAGCTCTTTATGGACTTAAACAGGCTCCTAGGGCCTGGTTTGATAAACTTAAGAAAGCGTTCCTTGGATGGGGGTTTGTTCATTCTCTAGCAGATCCTAGTCTATTTGTGTATCAAAAAGAATGCATATTGATGTATGTTCTAGTGTATATGGATGATATTTTACCCACAGGAAATGACCCCAATCTGGTTCAGAAAATAGTCTCTGATCTTAATACACAGTTTGCATTAAAGGCTTTAGGATCTCTCAAGTATTTTCTTGGGTTTGAGGTGACAAGAAATAAGGCAGGAAATCATATGAATCGGGAGAAATATGCAAAAGATCTACTGGTTAAAACAAATATGGTTGATTGTAAGCCTTGTAATACCCCAATAGCTTCTAGAGCTAAACTTGCACTTGAGGACAGTGAACCTTTTGAAAATCCAGCACTCTACAGAAGTACAGTGGGTGCACTGTAGTATTTGACATTGTCTAGACTTGACATTTCTTACTTAGTAAATAAGCTCAGTCAATTCTTAAAAGCCCCTACACAACTGCACTGGCAGGCCTGTAAAAGGCTATTGAGATATCTTAAAGGCACCTCCAATTATGGCCTTCAATTCTATCCCAGTCATAGGTTTAATCTAGAGTGTTACACAGATGCAGATTGGGCCTGCAATCCACTGGACAGAAGGTCAACTAGTGGCTAATATGTGTTTCTCGGGTCTAATCTCATTTAGTGGAATTCAAGGAAGCAAAAGGTTGTGACTCTCTCTTCCACTGAGGTAGAATATAGGGCTCTTGCACAAAGGTCCACTGAAATAGCCTGGTTCTGCAGTCTTTTTTCTGAAACTGGTCTTAAGTTGACTGAAATTCCTATTATCTGGTGTGACAACCAGAGTGCAAGTTCACTTGCCTCCAATCCTGTCTTTCATGGTAGGACTAAACATATTGAGCTAGATGCTCACTATATACGGGAACAAGTTACAGCAAACAAGGTTAAAGTTCAATATGTTCCAACTGAGTATTAAAAAGCTGATATCTTCACTAAGGCACTTTTAGCTTCCAAGTTTGAAACACTTCAAGGAAAACTTACTGTACAAGCACCTGTTAGTGTTTACTTAATGGAGTGACATGCAGTTGTGTTTTTTTTTTTTATCTGCAAATGTGTTCTGTTGATTGTTGCTCTGATGGAGTTTCTTTTGTGGCAGTTCTTATTGATGGAGTTTGGCAGTGCAGAATGTGTTATGAATTTTGCAAATTGATGTTTGAGAAGTTATGCTGCTGTGTTGGGAGTTTGGTAGTGTAGGATCAGAATGTGTTGAGAATATGCAGGATCAGATGAAGTTCACCATGAGTTGCTGCATTTGCATGAGATGAGCTGCTTGTAGCAACCAGTTCGTCACGAGCTACTGATGCATGAGACGAGCTACTTGTAGCAACCAGCTCGCCACGAGCTGCTGCTTTTGCATGAGACGAGCTGGATGTCATGAGCTTCTGCATTTGCATGAAATGGAGCAAGTTTTCATGTGTTCGTGAAGTACAGCGAATAGTGTGTTCGTGAAGTGCAGCGAACAACGAGCAATAAGTCTTCGTGTGTTGTGTTCATAGCGAGAAGTGAAGTGTGTTCGTGAAATGGAGCGAGTTTTCACGTGTTCGTGAAGTGCAGCGAACAGCGAGCAATGAGTGTTCGTGTGTTATGTTCGTAGCGAGCAGTGAGTTTTAGTGTGTTCGTGAAATGGAGCGAGTTTTCACATGTTCGTGAAGTGCAGCGAATAGCGAGCAATAAGAGCAATAAGTGTGTTCGTGTGTTTGTTAATCAGTTGAGAAGGTTTTGTTGAAGAAGGGATGTTAGAATGTAATGAAAGAACATAATGAATAAGTAAAGAAGTGTAGACGTTTTGTTGATGAAGGGATGTTAGGAAGTAATGAAATCTGACCGTTGATTGTAGATGACGTGTCAAGGAGTTAGTTTTATTTCTGTTACAGTGCACATGCAAAATACATGCAATGCGCATGTATATATAAAACACTTTATGCATGTATCATTATGATCATCATCAATAATACAGATCTGAATTTTCTCTCTCTTTTACTCTGTTTTTCTTGCGTTTTCTGTTAGTGTTCTAAGTATTCTTAATAATTTGATTTAATTATAGTTAAAATTGTAATATTTATGTCTTTTGGAAATTAATAACTCATATTTCAATATCTTGACCTTTTTTCTTATCTATGTAAGTTCTATACTGAGAATTTTATTTATTTATTTAGGAATCAGGGAGCATTTGGAATTATGTAGCTTTTACCATTATCACACTTATGGTTGTGCTCTGAAATTAATCAATTATAACCCAAAGTTATAGGTTGCCTGATAAACTGTAGTTTACTTTTTTTTCTTTTTTTTTTTTATATTAACAATTTTATTAAGAATAATTTTTAGAATACTGTCGGTGATATTCTCCGATATTGGTGGCCGGTTTTCGATGGCCAGTTGGCGGTTGCCAATGATAACAGTTGCCTGCAGCAATTTTATTTTTTAAAATAATAAATTATTTGGAAGTCGTTTTGGCATTTTACTAATCGCAAGCAGATTTCTATTGTGAAAAAACAACTCGTGTTACTTTTGAGTTCGAATATAAAAATAGATTATGGGAGAATCGGTGTGTGAAAAAAATTACTTATAATAGTCAACTGACTCAAGAATTCCAGAAAACATAGGCTGAGACAAAAGGAAGTTCCTGGGTTCTATTATCTTCAGAACGGTGTGGCTGAGTTGATGCCATTACCATTGTTCATATTGCTGACAACTTAACTGATCTTACAACTACCATGTTAAATATATTTTGGAAAATTGTAAGAAACTTAAGTGTGCCTTTGATTCGTGATCCAAAAATATTTTCAAACAGTTATTAGAGTTTATAGATCTGATTCAATTTTACATATATGTTTCCTACAACTTGTAACAGGCGTCAAACAACTTCCATGGAAGAATCTTCAATATCTTGACCTTCGTTCCAACTTGTTCGAAGGACCAATTCCAGTTCCGCCACCTGACATGAAAGTCTTTTTAGTATCAAACAATAATCTGACAGGAGAAATACCTCATTTAATCTGCAATATGAGTACCCTTGAAGTTCTTGATCTTTCCAACAATAGCTTGACGGGTACCATTCCAGAATGCTTGGGACACTTCAGCAACAGTTTGCGCGTGTTGGATCTGCAGGAGAATAAGTTTCATGGCAACGTTCCTGGAGTATTTACAAAGGGCAATGACTTGAGGACCCTCAACTTCAATGGCAATGAATTGAAAGAGCCAATCCCAAAATCTTTGCTTAATTGTGAAAAGTTGGAAGTCCTAGATTTGGGAAATAACAAAATAAACCAGTCCTTCCCAAAATGGTTGGGAAGCCTTCCGGCATTAAAGGTTCTTGTTCTTCGTTCTAATAAATTTTATGGTCTTGTAACGGATCCTAAAGCCAATAGTACTTCTTTCTCTAAGTTGAGAATTTTTGATATCTCGAACAACAATTTTAGTGGTTCATTACCTGCGAGTTATTTTGAGAATATGAAATCCATGATGAGTGTTAGTGGTGAAGTTAAAAAGAAGCCTCAGTACATGGGAGACAGGTATTATGAAGATTCAGTGACGCTTGTAGTGAAAAAGCTTGAAGTTAAACTACTGAAAATTCTTACCGTTTTCTGTACCATTGATTTGTCGAATAATAGCTTTACTGGTACGATTCCAGAAGTAATTGGAAAGCTTCGAGCACTTAATCACCTCAACCTTTCTCAAAACAGTCTTACAGGTCAGATTCCTCCATTGTTGGGCAATTTGGGAGGAGTCGAATCCTTAGACCTTTCTTCAAACAAACTTGGCGGGAGAATTCCATGGCAGTTAACTAATTTGACATTTCTCTCTGCGCTGAACCTGTCACATAACCAACTTGTGGGACTTATTCCTCAAGGGAACCAATTCTATACCTTCTCAAGTGATTCGTACGAAGGAAACTTGGGATTATGTGGGCCTCCATTAACAGAATGCAGCGACCCTTCCTATCCACCTCATATTGAGGATGATACAGACTCTAATAAATATTTTGGTTGGAAAGTTGTGTTGACGGCGTTTGGATTGATTATTGGATCTCGTGTTTACAACGGGAAAGCCTCAATGGCTTGTAAACGCAGTGGAAGGGAATTCCCACAAAACGGTGAGAAGGATTAAAAATAAACAGAAAAGAAGAAGAAATTAGTGTTTGAAAGTAGTTTTCTCCTTTTGGTATCATGTATCAGCCATATATAATGTAATCGACTTTAGCAATAGCAAACCCTTCTGCCTCAGTGTTCTTTCTCTTATGAATTTAAATTCAATTGTCCGGATCTCTTCAAATTATACAAACCCTTTTGCCCTTATTGACAGAAACGTTCTGTAATTGTATGGTCTAATTTAGGCAGCACATCTTGTAACAATCACAGTTTGCTGATAAACCATGGTTTAGCCTCTAATTTTAACCAGGACTAATTCAACAAGAGAAAAACAATGTCCATTCGGAAACCAAAAAAAAAAAAAAAAAAAAAAAACATTAAACAAGATCGGGAATTCTTCAATATCATCAACATATAGAATTCCAAAGTAATCTTAATTTTTCGGTCTTAATACATTTGAAACTGTCAAAATTGCAGTTACCATGCCACTGCATTCTCTTGAAATGTCCAGTGCCTTAAGAACCGTGATTCAACCCAGGAGAGCTAACTTCCCAATTTCTTCTAGGCCTAATATTTCCCAGGAATTATCAAGAATGATGAGGACTTTTTCGTCATTTCTTGCGAGGTCTGCACTGTCTTTTAAGTTTTAACTAATTTCTTGGTAAAACTTTTTAAGTCAAGCTCGTTGATGAGCTGATTTTGCATATGAAAATGAAACCATTGTATTATGTTCATTTTCTCCCAGACTTTATTTACTCAAATTAACAGTCAAATATTAATAGTTTAATGAGTGTAAATACTATTTATCCTTTTATTGACTTAGAAGTCCACTGTGGGACCTCTAATGGTGAAATATCTTTCAAGTCTGGAGGCAGAGCACCATTCCAGGAAATTACCTGCAAATTATAGGGGCGGAGCTACCTATTTATACTCTTTGCAGCTTTAAGGTAATAAGTGTTTTTATAAGTTGTCTTGATTTGGTGAAGATCTTCATTTCTTTTGATTCGTTGGGAACTTTCATTCATATCCTTAAATTAAATGAAATTTTGACAGATGATTGCACAAAATATCATTCTGAATCGGAGGTTGGTGGAGATGCCTACTAAGAGCTAATCGGTGGAGATGACGTCAACATATATTTCAGGCATAACACAGTCATTAGTTTTTTCAATTATTTACCATGTGTGATGCCTCACAAGCATTTCATCAAACACTTGGTGGAAATCTCAAGCTAGAAAAATCTAGCCCCCTTCACAAAATTCAAGAACTCTCTTGAATTCTCTACACATTTGTAGATATCTCTTGAATTATTGGTAGTTATTAGAAGATTTTAGGTCTTAAATCTCCACCATTGAATGTGGAACATTGTGTAAATCTAGACTGTTCATAATAAGTTAAGCTCATTTGGCCAAACCATCCAAGAATTGTAAGCTTAAATAATAAAGAATGTTATTTTCTCTAGCATAATCTTATGAGTTTGAGTGAGTGTTCTCTCTTATTCTCAAAACTAGCAAGCTTGAGTTATCTAGTGGGGAAATAAATAGGGTCGTGACAATTGGTATCAAAGCTCAAAGTTCTTGGGTCGCTTACTAGATCCTTCCAACTAGCTGACTTTGTTGAGGTTTGAGTGGGACCACGAACATCCTTCCAACTAGCTTCCCGTAGAACTCTTAAAGCTCCAGAATCTATTGGAATATTGTGGCTGGTTTTCCTATTTGTTCTCATGTTAAATTGTATGTCTTTAACCAAGTTCATTCAACTATGATTTTATCAATCGCATAGGAAAACCCTTTAATAAATAATACAATTGTAAATAGAAATAAAATTATGAGAGTCCTATTAAGAATTGAAATATGAGTCTAGTAGAAATATATATAATGTCCCATACATTGTGTATAAATATAGGGGCGAAAACCAATTCAAGGTTATGAGAGAATGTGAGAACATAAGATATATATTTGATGTAAAGGCTATTAAACATCATGGGTAGAGTGTCTTAAAAATTAGGATTGTTTCCACTTTAGATACTGGTCTGTTAATTATATACCAGATTTATGATGGTGTCGTGTACTCTTATATATCGTATTCATGAAATTATAGTGGATTTCTCTCATTCGTGATGGTGGCCAAGATATTTTGAACCACGTAAATGTCATGTCTATTTTTGTGGTGTGATTTTATTCCTATATTATTAATCTCAAATGTATGTTTTCTGTTGCATGATCTCCTAACCAAATCATTTGAACTGAATCTTCGAAGAGGACAGAAATGGTTGGTAAGATAAATAATCTTTCTTTGCTTGATTAATTTATCCATTACATCTTTTGCACTCCATTGTTTAAAAATTTGAAGGAATTTAGGTTTATATATTTCTCGGAAATCTCTCTTATTTGCAATATCTTGACCTTTTTCTTATGCTCTACGTTTGTTTAATGTTAAGAATTATGTTGGCTATCTTTTGATTTTCTTTGTTCTTATGATCTAGTTTGATTTACAATCTATTTTCAAAAATTTATTATAAGACTTATGCACATTTTTGTTTAATTGTGCACTAGTACAAACTCTGGAACTCTGGAAAACGAAGGATCAGACTAACAAATAGGATTTAGAGTTTAATTTTTCATAAACTTGTTGACAGGAGTTAAACGACTCCCATGGAAGAACCTTTAATATCTTGACTTTCGTCCCAACTTGTTTGAAGGACTAGCTCCAGTTCCACCACCTAATATAAAAGTGTTTTTGATCTCAAACAATAATCTGACTGGAGAAATACCTCAAAAGCCTTGATCTCTCGTACAATAAACTTGTAGGAAACATTACAAGTTCAAGGGGGAGAATTTGCAACTTGCATTCAATTTTTTTGTCAAGTGTCAAATTGAGTCAAGAGATAAATGAAGTCTTAGATATTTTCTCAGGATTCGTTTCAAGGGGTGCGGAGAATCTAGATTTACAGAATACTAATCTTTTTGGTCATTTGACCGAACAACTTAAGGCAGTTTAAAAATATAAAATATTTTAATCTCAATTACAACTCTATTTCTGGTTCTATTCCCATTTGTATATGAGAGCTTTCATTTTTGATAGTTTTAGATCTTTCAAGTGATGTGTTGGAAGGAAAAAGTCAATCCTGATTGGATTCCTTCATTTTCATATGGAATATTTTAGATTAGGATATTGTCATTTAGGGCCTTTATTTCCTTCACGGCCATATTCACAAAAAAAAACAACTAATTACTTTGGACATATCCAACCTAGGAATTGTTGATACACTTCCGATTTGGTTTTGGACTACTCGTTTTTAAATATAAATCTCTCTCATTACCAAACCCATGGAGAGATTCCAAATTTAACCTAGGCTGATTGATCCATTACTGTTGACCTGAATTCAAATAAACAATAATGCTACAGACATCAAAGGTTTACATCAAATTTTTGCATCGACTGACGTGTCATCTGAGTCAGATGCAGCCACGTAGCACACTAACAAGTATTTTGCGAATAAACGTCCGTCCATCAAATATGGATGAGCGTCCATGATTGTTGGACGACCGTTCATTTTAAATGGACTCCCGTCCATACGAAAAAAACATTGGACTTATGTCCATATTATATGGACGGGAATCCATTTACATGAATGGACGCCCATCCATAGTTTAAATTATAAAACTATAAAACAATAATAATGGACTCCCGTCTATATAATATGGACGAGCGTCCCTATTAAATGAACGGTCGTCCATTGACATCACAAATAAAAAGATTTTAATAAAATTTCAGGTTTAAAAATTTAGGGTGCCAAAAAAAGTCTTAAAAAACAAAAAGCAACAAACATCCATTGAAGCCCAACAGCCATTTAATAAGATCCATTGATAAAACAATATTGCTTAGAAAATAAACACATTGCTATGACTCCCAAACAATGGACGCCCATCCAAAGTCAAGCCTTTTTGTCCATAATCAACCAATATTGAAGGTGCGGCATCAAATGTGATCCTGCCATGCCCACTACACTTTAAAAAAAAATGCTTAGAAAATAAAACTCCCCAAAAATGGACGCCCATCTAGAGTCAAAAGCTTGGCCTTACATTAAAAAATATAGATGGTGAATTGTTGGTGGACGGGCATCCATATTATAGATGGTGAATTGGTGATGGATGGCTATCCATATTATATGGACGGGCATCCATTATTTTATTTCTAAAATTTTGTGGACGGGCGTCCATATGAGGTGGGTGCTCGTCCGTAGTAGATGGACTCACGTCCAAATAATATGGACGGGAGTCCATTATTATTTTCGTAGATGCTTGTCCATTTGTGATGAACGATCGTTGGATGACTGCTCATTCATGGAAGACGTGTGTTGTCTCCAATGTGGCTACGTCTAATTGGATACCACATACGTCGGTACAAAAATTCAGCGCAAATTATGGGTGTCCTTAGCATTATTCTCAAATAAATTGTCAGGTTCATTGCCTCTTATATCCTCCAACATAACTTTTCTGCACCTTTCCAACAATGCTATTTCAAGTACTATTTTTCATTTTTTGTGAATAAAAGAAATAAGTCAAAGAAAATGGTGTTTCTCAAACTTGAAGATAATCTTTTATCTAGAGAATTCCGTTATTATTGGATGAATTAGCAAAAATTGCATATGTTGATTTTAGATAACAATAAATTTACTGGTAACCTTCCATCATCTATTGGATCGTTAAGTTTGCTTCGATCATTACATCTCCGGAAAGAACGACGTCTTTGGGATACTTCCAAATATTTTGGATGCAACTTAATATTACAGTAAAATCTCTCTATAGTGATACTCTATATAAGAATAAACTCTACATAATCATAAAAAATTCTAGTCCCAATTTGGGATAGTTATAAATAAGAATAAACTCTATATTGTAATAAGTTATAATTTTTCTAATTCCTGCCTTAAGGAAAGTTGCCTCTACATAGTAATAATTATCTGTATATTATCAAAAAAAAAAAAAATATTATGTAAAATTAAAGGTTTAAAAT